TGTATTACTAACAATTACATTTGCATGTATGTACATGTGTATGTTGTTGTTGCTGTTATGTGCTCTCAAGTCGGACCCGACTCATAGCGACCCCTCCTTGGGTTTCCAAGGCAGTATCACCACGAAAGTAGATTCCCCAACCTTCCTTCCGAGGAGTATGTATATATATATTTATGTGTATGGATGTGTGTGTATATATATATATATATATATACGTGTATGTGTATGTGTATATATTCACATTTTACACTGGCTGCTACAGTGGGCTCAAACATTGCAACAATTTTAAAGATGACAGAGGTTCAGGCAGTATTTCATTCTATTGTATGTAGGTTGACTACAAGTTGGAACTACTCAACAGCATTTCACAATATATTTACAAATGCAGTCAAGGATTTTTATACACATATGCAAGTGTGTGCTAATGCACGTTTTAGGTTGACAGATCATAATTCATTTTCCCATTTTAAATAGTCAAATATGGTCTATCACATGGCTGGCTATCTTACAGTTTACTCTGCCATTTTAATGAATGTTTAGTTTTGCTATTATGAATATTCAGAAAAAATCTTTATACTTAAATGGTTTGCATTTCAGATTATTAATTTAGGATAAATTGCTGAAAATAAATTTGCCAGTTAAAGAGCATAGATTGTTTAAGGCCTTTCATAAGACCAGAACCCACTGCCTCAATTTAATTCTGACTCACAATAACCCAAACATCGGAGTAGAACTACACTGTAGGGTTTCCAAGGCTGTAAATCTTTATGGAAGCTGTCTGCCACATCTTTCTCCCTCGGAATGGTTTGTGGGTTCAAGCCACTGTCTTTAGGTTAGCAGCCAAGTGCTGTAACCATTGTGCCACTAGGCTCACATCTTTGATAATAAATCCTCATTATTTAAAGCTTATGATTGTGGTCCCTATTTGGCTTATTAGTTCAATGGATTCTTACTAGTCTTATTTTTTTCTTTTCTTTCTTGTTCCTTATTTTTTCTTTGTGTCTTTTAATTCTCAATAATTCTGTTTCTAATTCTAATAAGGAGCTCTGGTAGTATAGTGCCTGTGGGCATTTGACTATTAACCAGAAGGCTAGAGGTTCAAACCCACCAGCTACTCCTCGGAAGGAAGGTTGGGTAATCTACTTCCGTAGTGATACTGCCTCAGAAACCCAAGGAGGGGTCGCTGTGAGTCGGGGCCGACTTGATGGCACATAGTAACAACAACAATTCTAATAAGAATTTTTGTTCTCAAGACCTTTTTTGGATTACTGAGCCTTTTAATATTCTGATTAAAGCAATTAGCACTTCAGAAAAAGATACATACCAACATTATTTTGCATATACAGAGGGTCATAAGATTCTCCTGAACCCCATTCTCATTGGTCAGTAGCAAGAGATCCATTGACGTCAAATTGACAATACTGTTGTGTTGCAGAATGAAATTGACATAGGTTTTAAGAGCTAATTAGATTAAAATGTTTATATATTTAGAAAGAGATTTTTCTTATTTCACCAAGCTTTTATTGATATTTAAAGCTAATAATTTAGATGTATAAATGTGATCATGTAATTATAGATTTCTAGCACATTTGTAAAAATTTTTTAGCTTTTTTACTAAGGCTCTGTCTTCTCTCTTAACTCATCCCATATCACATCTTAACCATCTTTGTCCATATTTGTATTGACTTATATAGATAACATTCACATGTTCAGTCTTTTTAAAATCATTATTTATTTTCCAAAAAAATAAAGTGTGAATTTTTATGCATCTTACTTTCCTCACTTGTTAATATTTTGTAGAAATCTATCCTAATTATCTCATTATCTGATTTGGAGCTGATCCCTTTTTTCTTTATGTTTTTATTTCTTTTTAATTGTGATTTGGGTGAAAGTATACAGAGCAAATTGATTTTCCATTCAGCAGTCAATACACATTTTGTCTTGACATTGATTGCAGTCCTCACAGTGAAACAGCACTCTTCCCACTTCCTCCCTGTGGTTACCATTTCCATTCATCTTTCCTCCCTATGCCTTCCTGTCTTCTGAGTTTTATTCCTGGGCGAATGCTGCCCTTTTGATCTCATATAGTTTATGGTTCTAATAAGTGCAAACCCTCCTGGTATCACTGTTCACCTTATAGGCATGTCTGTTGTTTGCCTGAAAGTTGAGCCATGAGGGTTGAATTCAGTTTCCTACTTGAAGAATGTCTAAGGGCCATAATCTCAGGGATTCTACCAGTCTTCATCAGAACAGTAAGCCTGGTCTTTTTTATAATTTCGAGATTTCTTCCACATTTTTTCTCCTATTCAATCCATGACTTCCTATTGAGAGCCCTTTCAGAGCGATCAGCAGGGGTAACCAGACACCATCTAGTTCTTCAGGTCTCAGGGTCCTGGAGGCTGGGATTCACATGGTCCAGTAGCCCTTTTGCCTAATTGTTTCCTTGCATCTTTAATTTTCTTAACTGTTCTTTGCTGCAGATGAGGAGAGACCAACAGTTACACCTTAGATGGCTGCTCACTCATTTTTAAGACCCCAGTCACTCCTCACCAAAGTAGGATGTACAACATTATCTTATGCCCGTTGACCTTAGTGTACTCCAAAACTATAGTCCTGAGCCCCTATGCTGAGAGACTGATTTCCTCAAGGTTTTGGTTATGACTAAAAAGTTTTCATAACTTTGCCTATGTGCTCTACTGTGTTCATGAATATATTTGCAGTATATATAAATACATAGGTGGACATATCCTCTGTGAGACCTACATATATTTATGGGTGTAGTCCCATTCACCTTCCCACCTCTGTTCAGTTTGAATGACTATTTGTGTATCCACTCATAGATTATTGTTATTACTGTTACTGCAGGATCGTGTATGTAATAGTATTTACCTTTGTTACTTTTAACTATTAATGCTCCTCCCTGTGGCTTCCTCTGCCTTGATCATTTTGTGTTGACCTCCCTCTTATTATATATTACATTTCCCTTCATCCAAGTTAATATATATGTCTACCATCTACTTAGTGATTTACCCTCCATTCCTCTCCCACTCCTGATAACCTTCAAATAATGATTCTTTCTATGTGTATGTCTTTTCTTAACTTTGTACAGTGTTTGTCCTTCCATAATTGACTAATTTCATTGAGCATAATGTCCTCTAGGTTAATCCATGTTATGAGATATTAGTGTTGCATTCCACTGTGTGTATATACCATAGTTTATTTATCTAGTGATCTGTTGATGGGCACTTTCCATCTTTTTGCTGGTGTAAATAATGCTGTGATAAACATCATGGGTGTGAATCCCTTCTTTTGCATAGTGTTCCATGTAGGAACTTACTATGATAAGTCATTTCATTTATGAATTGTCATTTATTTCCTTTATCTTTCTCTTTTTTTTTTTGTCACTGTAAAGAAAACTCATTAACATCCTAATGTTTTTATTTCTGTAGAGTAGATTTTTAGGAATATTATTGCTAGGTCAAAGGGTACATATAACCCACTTTTCACTTATCGACATGGTTAGGATCAAAGGCCAGGTTGTTATGCAAAAATAGGCATTATACAAAAATGGTATGACCATATCAGATCACAAAATGGAAAATGATTATACCATCACATAACTGTCAGATCACTGAGAATGCTGGCCCAGCCACTTTGACACATAACCTAACCGTGACAACCAGTGTTACCATGGGACTTGCACTTTGGGATTCTTTACTGCGAGATGTACATGATTAATGCATAAAATAGTTGGAAGGAGATTTTTTATTGTTGTCATAAATGCAAAATGTCAGATAATGAGATAGTCGATAAGTGAGGAGTAGGTATTTATATCATTTTTATTTTAATGAATTTTGTTAAATTGCTTACCAAAATGGCTATAGCACTTAAAATATTTGCCAGCAGTATACAAATATACCCTTTGTCTATATCCCTACCAAGAACAGAATTTGTTGCTTTTTAGAAATTTTATTGATGGATATAAAGCAATATTTTATTTTTTGCTTTAATCAGCTTTTCCCTAACTACAAATTCCCTGACTCATATTGAGTTTGAGAATCTTTTCAAATGTTTCTTGGCCATTTAGAGTTTTCACTTTTTACGTTTGTCTGCTCATAGCCTTTGCCTTTTTTTTCTCTTGTTAGGGCTTTATCATTTTCTTTTCAATTTATAAGCCCTCATTTTATGTTAGAGTGGTAACCATTGTTACTTGCCTTACAAATGTTTCTTCCAGATTTATCATTTTGTACCTCTTAAATTTGTTTATACTGTCTTTTGCTATAACTATTTTAAATGTTTTATTTATCATCTACTGTTTCCTGATTTAACATTTTTGTTTTGTTTTCATTGACTCTTTTCTAAAGTAATTTGAGGCAAGAGTTGTGAATTAGAAGTACAGAAGCCCACTCCAGATATTACTAAAGTATAGAAATGATGCAGCCACATTTCTTTCCAACAAGATGGATTTGAATCTATCTTATTTCTTCTCTATACTGAACTGGTATACATCTCTAGCAATATAAAAGTTAAAAGTACTAGTTTTCTTAAACAGTAACAGTTATTTTTTAATATTACCTAACATTTTAAATGGTCATTGTTGTACATAATAGAATAGGAAACAGCTTCTAATATAGTCTATGGATACTCATACATATTTGTAATTAGTAAAAAATGTAGATTACATGTAGAGTAAATTTATTACTAACTTTCTGCTAATGAAGGCCTCAAATTTATTGTCTGACATTCCTTTTTCATATTCCTCTTCTATACGTTTTCTGGGCCTGTTGGTTTTTTTGAATTTGTGTTTTTATTGTAGGCATATTTTATCCATAGGGCTCATGCATAAAACCAAGTAACTGGTTCATTCAGTGTTCTTTGACATTTTTAGTAATACTTTTCATCTTCCTACAATGCAGTCACTGTTTTTATTAATTTGAATATGTATTTGTCTTGCATATTTTCAGATAATGTCTACATTTTCTGTCTCTTTTCTCTTGCAGAATACATTAAATATAACAAACAATAACTATTATTCTGTTGAAGTTGAAAACATCACTGCACAAGTCCAGTTTTCAAAAACGGTTATTGGAAAGGCACGCTTGAACAACATAACTAATATTGGGCCGCTTGATATGAAGCAAGTAAGCCTCAGTCTTGAGATAATTTCAGAAAGTTAACTAAGTCTCCACTTTGCCTATCACATTAACTTGAAGGAGAATTACTCAAAAACTTGACTTTGAGATATATATCCCATGCATGTATCAGGAAATCTTAGAATCAAGTTCATAGAGAGATTCCTAAACTCTTTGAAAGTATGAAATGCCTCTGAACTATTTGATGATTTGATCCTGTTGTTCATTGTTTTCACTTTTTGCTTTTCAGATTGATTACACTGTACCTACTGTTATAGCTGAAGAAATGAGTTATATGTTGTAAGTTCTGATTTTTTAATAACTTTCTCTTATTAAATAATAAAAATATAGAATAAAGTATGAAGAATACTTTTGTTTTTTAATTTCCCATTATGTTTTCAGTGAAAAAGAATCATATTTTGGAATATTCCTTCTGGTCTCTGATCATTTCTATTCTTCTGTTATGCATGCACACATAAGTTATGATTCATTTTATTTTTCAGTATTAGGATGATAAACACTATGTTACTTTTTATTTTTACTCCCTGTATTGTGAGAACCATAGTTTCATATATTTGTTGATGTAAGAGGATTATGAATGGCAATAATGTATAATGTTCTAATATTGGTTTGAAATTCTGAAGCTTTTAGATTAGATTTAAATGATTATTAACTCTTGTTAAGTAAAATAATAATGATAATTAAATATTTTCATTATCTTTTTATATGAGCCTGGATCTAGAATTTTTGGGTAGCTAGGAATTTCAAATAGTGAGTAAAAAGTAAAAGTAATTTGTAGCCCATGTTAAAACAATTCTACAACTGCAGTAATATGAAAGTGTAGTTTTAGAATAAAAAGTCATGAAACAATCAGTATTTGAAGTATAAAAAATGCTCAATAAATATAATGCTTACTGTGTTTTCTTAATAGTACTTATGTTTATTTTAACTTAGGAAGAAGAATAGTAATTAAACTATTTTAAATTTATAATGTCATAATTTGCATTTATTCATATATTTTCTTTAACAGTGATTTCTGTACACTGGTATCCATCAAAGTGCATAACATAGTACTCATGATGCAGTAAGTATAATTTTTTTTTTCTTTGAAAAATACTTTTGGTTAAAACTCTTTATTTATCACGTTGGCTTGTAGCATCTTATAGACAGCATCTTAGCTTTACAAGAGTGCCATGAGGAAAGGATAAATATTATCCCCTCTGTAAATGAGTAAAGGCACTCTGGAGGCACAGTGCCTAGGGCATTTGACAGCTAACCAGAAGGTTAGCGGTTCAAACCTACCAGCCACTCCATGGAAGGAAAATGGGGCAATCTATTTCCGTAAAGATTTACCATCTCGAAAACCCATTTGGGGTCACTGTGAGTCAGAATTGACTCAATAGCAGTGAGTTTGGTTTTTTTGGTTTTTATAAATGAGTAAATCGAAGATCAGAGTAGTAGTGAAGCATCACATGGCTGTTAAATAGTGAATGTAGACTTTGAAAAATTCAGGAATATTGTAGATGTGGGTAAAGAGGAAATCTTAATTGAATATCCAATGCCTTTCTGCTGGTGGTAAATGATTGCTAATTATAATGAGAACGAGATAGTAAAACCAAGTAGGATGTCTCTCAAAGGGGTAAGATTTTACTTGAGGACAGTATGTTGGAATATGCTGAGAATAGGTCCTACCCTGTGTTGTCTAGTATATGGGAGGAATTTGCTTCTTAATTTTCCAGGATGAACTAGATTCTCATTGAGGCAAGGAAGTAAAAGAAAAAACATCGATATAGGTTGAAAGGATGTTCCAGAAGGCATGGTAAAGTAGGGTAGGATTAGGGTGAAAAATGCTGGACTGAGAATGAGAAAGAATGAATGGCATAGATGTGTTCATATTATGTATTTCCTAGCACCTATAGAGCAGAGAAGTCATAGGCTGGTCTAAAAATTCTCAATAGGGAATAAAGGTGATTGTTGTTGTTGTTGTTGTTGTTAGGTGCCGTCGAGTTGTGTCTGACTCATAGTGACCCTATGTAGAGCAGAATGAAACACCGCCTGGTCCCCCGCCAGCTCCATGATCCTTGCTGTACTTGAGTTCATCGTTGCAGCCACCGTGTCAATCCATCTTGTTGAGGGCCTTCCCCTCTTTCGTTGACCTTACCAAGCATAACATCCTTCTCCAGGGAATGGTCCCTTCTGATAACATGACCAAAATAGGTGAGACAAAGTGTGGCATTTTTCGCTTCCAAGGAGCATTCCGGCTGCACTTACTCCAGGACAGATGTGTTAGTTCTTCTGGCAGTCTGTGGTACTTTTAGCATTCTTCACCAGCACCACAACTCAAAAGCATCAGTTCTTCTTTGATCTTCCCTATTCATTGTCCAGCTCTCACATGCATACGAGGCTGTTGAAAACATGGCTTGTGTCAGGTGCACCTTAGTTCTCAAGGAGACATCTTAGCTCCTCAGCACTTGAAAGAGGTCCCTTGGAGCCACCTTGCCCAGTGCTGTACATCGTCTGATGTCCTGACTGCTGCTTCCATTGGCATCGGTTGTAGAACCAAGCAATGTAAAGTCTTTGACAACTTCAATCTTTTCTCCATTTATCATGATGTTGCTTAATGGTCCAGTTGTGAGGATTTTTGTTTTCTTTATATTGAGATGTAATCCATACTGCAGACTGTATTCTTCAGTCTTCACCAGTTAAGTGCCTCAAGTCATTCTCACTTTCAGCAAGTAAAGTTCTGTCGTCAGTATGTTGCAGGTTGTTAATGATTCTTCCTGAAGTCTTGATGCCATGTTCTTCTTCATATAGTTCAGCTTCTCGGATTATTTGCTCGGCATACAGATTGAATAAGTATGGAAAAAGGATACAACCCTGATGCACTCCCTTCTTGATTTTAAACCATGCAGTATCCCCTTGCTCTATTGGATTAACAGCCTCCTGGTCAATGTACAGGTTCCTCATGAGCACAATCAGGTGTTCTGGAATTCCCATTCTTCTCAATGTCATCCATCATTTGTTATGATCTACACAATCAAATGCATTTACATAGTCAATAAAAGGCTAGAGTGACTGAGACAGAGCGAGGAGTCAGCCACAGGGATCCAGGTGAAGAGAGGGAACCCAGGCCACACCTCACAAGGGGCAAGGCAGGAAGGTAGGCAAAAGGAGAATATAAAGGCTAGGGAACCCGGGACAAAGCGAGGAGCTGGCCACAGGGATCCAGGTGAGGAGAGGGAATCCAGGCCACACCCCATAAGCAGAAGGCGGGAGAAACAGTATAAAGGCTAGGGGGCCCAGGACAGAGCGAGGAGTCAGCTGCAGGGATCCAGGTGAGAAGAGGTTGAAGAGTTTCCCAACAGGTAAGGGAGACAAACCTGTCTGTCAGTTTTTACTGCTGTGGTGATGTGTTGCTGTGAGTCTTGAGGCTATGCCACTGGTATTTTCAAACCCAGTGGGGTGCACATGGTACAGAGGTACCAGCCTGGCTTACAGACTGAGACAGACTAGGAAGAAGGAAGAGGCCATCCGCTTCTCAAAGAATTGGCCAGGGAAAGCCTTATGAATAGCAAAGAAACACTGTCTGATATATTACTGCACAACTTTATGAATAGTCCAGAAACATTGTCCAGTACAGAGGAGGAGATGAGTCACTTAGGTTAGAAGGCTCTCAAAATAGGACTGGGAAAGAGCTGTATCATCAGAGTGAAACCAGCCTTACTCATATGGATAAGGTAAGCCTTTTGAGACCTCCATTTGCTGACGTGGCACCACTCAAATTGAGGAGAAACAGCCGCAAACAACCATTAATAATCAGAACATGGAATGTACGAAATATGAATCTAGGAAAATTGGAAGTTGTCAAAAATGAAATGGAACGCATAAAGATTGATATCCTAGGCATTAGTGAGCTGAAATGGACTGGTTTTGGCCATTTTGAATCAGGCAACCTTATGTACTACTATGCCGGGAATGAGAGTTTGAAGAGGAATGGCGTGGCATTCATCACAAAGGGTGTTTTAAGATCTGTCCTGAAGTACAATGCTGTCAGTGATAGGATAATATCCATACGCTTACAAGAAAGACCATTAATTCAACTGTTGTTCAAATTTATGCACCAACTACCAAAGCCAAGGATGAGTAAATTGAAGATTTTTATCAACTTCTACAGTCTGAAATTGACCAAACGTGCAATCAGGATGTGTTGATATCACTGGTGACTGGAATGCAAAAGTTGGAAGCAAGAAAGAATCACTGGTAGTTGGAAAATTTGGCCTTGGTGACAGAAATAATGCTGGAAATTGCATGGTAGAATTTTGCAAAACCAACTACTTACTTATTTCAAATATCTTTTTTCAGCAACACAAATAGTGGCTGTACACATGGACTTCACCAGATGAAACACACTGTAATCAGGTTGACTATATCTGTGGCAAGAGATGATGGAGAAGCTCAATATCTTCAGCCAAAACCAGTCCTGGAGCTGATTGTGGAACAGACCATCCATATCTTGCTCATATCCAAGTTCAACTTGAAGTTGAACACAATTATAACAAGTCCACGAGAGCCAAAATATGATCTTAAATATGTCTCTCCTGAATTTAGAGACCACCTAAAGAATAAATTTGATGCACTGAACACCAGTGACCAAAAACCAGAAGAATTGTGGGAAAACATCAAGAACATCATCCATGAAGAAAGCAAGAGGTCACTAAAAAGACAAGAAAAGAAAAGAAGACCAAAATGGATGACAGAAGAGACTGAAACTTGCCCTTGAGCAGAGAGTAGGTAAAGCAAATGGAAGAAATGACAGGATAAAAGAGCTGAACTGAAGATTTCAAAGAGCAGCTTGAGCAGACAAAGCCAATTACTATAATGAAATGTGCAACAACCTGGAGTTAGAAAACCAAAAGGGAAGAACACCCTCAGCATTTCTCAAGCTGAAATAGAATTGAGGAAAAAATTTAAGCCTCGAGTTGCAATATTGAAAAATTCTATAGGCAAATTATTGAATGATGCAGGAAACATCAAAAGAAGATGGAAGGAATACACAGAGTCACTGTACCAAAAAGAACTGGTAACTTTTCATCCATTTCAGGAGGTGGCATATGATCTAGAACCAATGGCATTGAAGGAGGAAGTTGAAGCTGCAGCGAAAGAATTGGTGAAGAACAAGGCTCCAGGAATTGGCGGAATATCCATTGAGATATTTCAACAAATGGATGCCCCACTGGAGGTACTCCCTCAGTTATGCCAAGAGATTTGGAAGACAGCTACCTGACCAACTGACTGGAAGAAATCCATATTTGTACTCATTCCAAAGAAAGGTGATCCCACAGAATGTGGAAATTATCGGACAATATCATTAATATTGCACACAAGTAACATCTTACTGAAGATAATTCAAAAACGGTTGCAGCAGTATATTGACAGAGAATTTCCAGAGATGCAAGCTGGATTCAGAAGAGGACGTAGAAAAAGGGGTATCATAGTTGTTGTCAAATGGATCTTGGCTCAAGGCAAAGAATACCAGAAAGATGTTTACTTGTGTTTTATTGACTATGCAAAGGCATTTGAATGTGTGGATCATGACAAATTATGGATAACGTTGAGAAGAATGGGAATTCCTGAACACTTGATTGTACCCATGAGGAACTTGTACATTTACAAGGAGGCTGTCGTTCAAACAGAACAAGGGGACACTGCATGGTTTAAAATCAAGAAGGGAGTGCGTCAAGGTTGTATCCTTTCCCCATACTTATTCAGTCTATATGCTGAGCAAATAATTGTAGAAGCTGGACTATATGAAGAAAAACATGACATCGAGATTGGAGGAAGAATCATTAACAACCTGAGATACCCTGATGATACAACTTTGCTTGCTGAAAGTGAGGATGACTTGAGGCACTTAACTGATGAAGATTGAAGAATACAGTCTGCAGTATGGATTACATCTCAATACAAAGAAAACAAAAGTCATCACAACTGCACCACTAATCAGCATCACGATAAATGGAGAGAAGATTGAGGTTGTCAAAGAAATCACATTGTTTGGTTCTACAATCGACGCCAATGGAAGCA